GACTTCTGGATTTTTAAGTACACATGGTCAAAAAGTTTTGCAATCCTTCTCCAGAATTCCTGAGTGCTGCTGCGATGCTTTCTCCAGCTGGAAATAACAAATAAAAAGGGTTTGTTTCCTTCTGTGGTTCCTATTTTGAAACTCAAGCCCACCATTACTTTACGGAACAGCGGTGGTGAGGGGGCTTTCTAGACTTCACTGACTCTTCTTCTGCTGAAGGCAGTCTCTATCTAGGGAATGATAGAGCTGACCAGCAAACCCACATTTTAGAGCTGTGAAGGCTGGAGGCCTCCAAAAAGAGAAAAAGTATGAGTTGTCAGAGAAGTGACAGCAGCTTGACAATATAAACTGGCTTACACACATTTTAGACAAATTAGTGAATGATAAATATGTATCAAAATCTTGGGGGACTGATGTGATTAGAATAATAACTGCTACTATGATTGGGTGCTTCCTATGTGCTGAGTCCCTTTAAATATACTCTCCGTCACCTGATCTTCACAGTCACCTTATAATGGGCAGGAAACAGAAAGATGTTTACCTGCTCCAAGTCTATCACCTCTGCAGCACACCGGCTCTGACCACATGGCAACTCTGTGCTCCTAAGGTCCTTGGCTTCTAAGGGCCTCTATTTCAACAGGAACCCGCTGTACTGTGTGTGTAGATGCATTTTTGTTTGAATGCATTCTTCCTCGGAGAAGGCTCTGTAGCTCTCGGACGGGGGTCCTGACACCATGGATCACTACGGGTTTATGACGCTGACCGCATGGATGCATCTTATGGCCAGGGCGGCCTTAGGTGAGCAATCCCGGGCGATGTTAGCCGAGCAAGCAACAACTTCCTTCAAGTCAGAGCTTTTCCCTCAGCCCCACCCTGAGCCAGCAGGAAACATGAGTCATGTTGCCTTCACCTGTCCCTGCATGGTGGGAGCAGGACACTTGGCTCACTTTTACTTCTCACCCGGAAAAGAGTAATATTTGTATACTCTGGAAATGCACTCAAGAGGTTGCAAGTTGATGTTTTGAATTTGCTCACCTTAGTCTTTTCTTTTACTACTGCTGAAAACAGATCACCCAAAGATGTACCAAACCTTCTAGTACCTCAAAGTAAATTTAAAGGAGTCCCTCTGCTTTTTACAGTTGTGGTTAGTTTCCATTTACCTAAAAGTCAATGGTTAGCTACCAGAATGATCACAGTTCTGCCAGACTTCTCTGCGGTGATCTAGAAGCTCTTGACCTTCTTATCCAGCCTCAGAATTCCCTGATACACACGCACTTTGGACTCACAGCTCCCTGCGGGGGCATCCGTGAGACGGCGGGTGACCATCCTCTAGTCGAGCGCTTCAGCCTCCCTGAGGCCTGGTCAGCTGATCTCACTCTTGGGGCACAGCTTGTTTGCTTTCCCCTGATGCTCTTCATATTCCTCTTTTTAAAACGCGTGCCATATTATATAAAATTATCAACAGAAAGTAAACCATGAGAGCATTTCCTGCAGTGTGAACACGTGCGTGCTGCTTGGAGATTTGGGATGTGGCGGCAGGAGCATGTTCATCCTGGAGGCAGCCCTACCTTGCCTGAGTCATTCAGCGGATGGTAATCAGAGCATCCAGGTAGATGGGAGCGGCAGGGGTTCTGACCTGTTGAATCGGTCTGTGCCTTTGAGAAATTATGAAATCTGTTAAACATTCTGGTTGGCACTGACCTCTTAAAGCAGCCTGTGCACACACGGGAGAGCCAGGCAGATTTGAGTTCAGACTCTCACGTCTCCGACCTTCTCTTCCTTTGACCCGGGACAGTAGCAGCCCTCTCCACATCTCAGCTACCTCCTATGTAAAATGATGATCCCCACAGCCGGTCGTGAGGGTAGACTGGAAGAACCACATCAATGCACTGTTCCCATCCCTGCCGCCGAAGATGGCCAGGAAGTGCTGGCTTCCCTCCCGATCCGAGGTGACAAGCCTCTTCCCGCAGCCAGGTCCTCCCAGATTCAGGGCGGGAACTGGGCTCCATGCTTCCTTCCTATCAGGGAAACTTCCGATCCTCTCCAATCCTGACCATGTCATCTTCCCCCACTAGGCAGGAAACACCATTACCTGCCCTAATTTAGGGCAAGAGGGAAAACATGAAACCCAGCACTTAAAACTCTCATGTGCTCACAGCAGTTGGACTTCAATGACCTCAAAGTGGGAGTTAAAGTGAAATGAAGAATCTGGTACCCAGATTGGGGTTAGTCAAGTCTCCCTGTCTTAGGGTGTCTGACCTTTCCAGCTTACCACAGACCAGAAGCTTCCCCAGGATATGAACTCAGTATTAACATCAAAAAGAGGGGCAACAGGACCAATGGGTTACCTTAAAACACTCACCTACCGCAGGCAGGGCTCAGAATAAGCCCTGGAGGATGAGGAGGGGTCCACCTTCTAGGCCCCGAGAAGCAGGCAACTATGTGAGCTTGGATCTTGAGGTCCCCCAGGGAGTTGGGCAGGTAGAGCCACGTCTCTAACTTACTTCCCGCCTTGGCTGTCTGCTCCTGGCAGGAACCGCCTCTTGTTGGCACCCACAGACACCTGGGAGGGAAGGTGTGAGAGGGCCCGCGGGCACTTCGGACGCGCTTCCTTCTGAGCAGTGGATGCTGCAGTCTTGACTCATCGCATGGCTTAAAAAGGACCACGATCCCCGAGTAGTGGCAGCGTCAGCCTGGCTCTGCCCAGCCTGCCATTGACCTCCAAGGGCGGCCCCAGAGACCGCCTCAGAGACTGCTCGGAGGACACACCGCCGCTTCTTCAGAATTGGCCTGCTCTGCCCTCATTTGCTTTGTTGCCTTTTAATTCCGTCCCTCTGTCTGAAAAGTGGACTTCCTTTCAAAGCCAAGGGAAGGCGTGCAGTCCCTAAGCAGCAACCCTCCGACTGGATAGAGACCAAGCTCCAAAGTCCCATTTGTAATGTGTTCTGCTTTTATTCAGTGTAGACTTCAAAGTATTAGGCCGCAATGCTGGTTGGTGAGACTGGCCAGTGGTCATCCAAAGTGAAGGGCCTCGAGGATGAAAATAAAATTCTCAGGGGGAGGGGGACACATGTACAATTTACATGTTTCCTACTCTATTGCTTAATTCTCTTAAGGCAATTTGGACTTTTGAGTTCCATTTGTGGTTCTGACAGGCTGGCCACCAAATAGAAACCATAAAGCAAAAAGGTCATATTGAAATTCATAAATTGGGATCATAGCACCACTCAGCATATGTATTTCCTTTCTCTCCTTCCTTTCCTCCTTCCGTCCCTCCTTCCCTTCCTCACTGTGCCATCCAACTGTGTCATCTATCTGCCTACCTATCACACATCTGTCTGTCCATCCTTATGGAATATCATCTGACCCGCTCCTAGAATGTCAGCCCATCATGGCAGGGAGCTTGGGGATGCCTCAGTGCCTCATGAAGTATTTGGCTCCTCTGAAAATGCATGTGGGTGAATTCTGCTTGTTGTCATCAGAGGTCTGTCCTTGAGGACCGTCAGCATTGCTTAGGAGCACAGCTGTTCCAATACCACCCGGTGGACAGCAGGACATGGGGTTAGTTGGCAATGTGGTGTCCTGTTCTGGCCTTAAGCTAAAAGACTGACTATACCACAGGTTACCTTGAAGCCAGAATCCAGGTCTTTCCATTTCTATTCCTATGGTTCAGGTTATCACTCTGTAAGGAAATTAATATTCTTTTTTTTAAAGCTTTTATTTACTTATTCATGAGAGACACACAGAGAGAGGCAGAGACACAGGCAGAAGGAGAAGCAGGCTCCCTGGGGAGCCCGATGGGGACTCGATCCCAGGACCCCGGGGTCATGACCTGAGCCAAAGGCAGACACTCAACCGCTGAGCCATCCAGGTGCCCAGAAATTAATATTCTATTTTGACCTCAAGATGAATAGTTACTAATGGTTTAATACATTTTCCCCTTCAGATAGAATTCTAATTTTATGAAAAATTTCAGGAGATAAGAAAAAGATGACAATCAACTGAAGAATTTGGGTCTTATAGCCGAGATAATGAGGAAAGTACCATTAGATAAGAACACATTTTCTGATGTGTCTGCATTTTCTCCCCATCAGCTGCTCCCTGACACTTCCACGGCCAGAGTTACGAGCTCTTGGTTGAGAGCTCAGTTTCTTTCTTGTTCAATGTTTACAATCTGGAACTCTCAAATATTACATAAATCTACTTCATTACTGAAAATGCAAACAGAGTTTAATCTCCTCACTTCATTGCTTCTGTTTTGCTGAATTTTTACAAAGAGTAACTGGTAAGAACTCAAGTTCCCCTGAAGTTTACTAAGTTTACCTGCTGTGTGCTAGCTGGAGTTTCTAGACAGCTACATAAGAGAGCTCCTAATGCTGCCTGGGGGGTTTGAATGCAGAACGGGTCATGTCTTCTCCAAAGCATGCCTGTCTCTAAATGCTGGCATCGGTTTGGGCAAAAGTCACAGGCAGCACTGAAAAGGCAGCCAGCGTGGCTTGGTCAGGGCAGATTTAGAGGTCAAGCTGCCCTTCTGCCTCCCTCCTACCTCTCCACTCTCAGCATAGGCTGAGAGCAAACTTGGTATTTGTAGAATTTGTCTTTACTCATGAGTTAACTAACTTCAAAGGTTGTAAACTGTGCCTTCTTTCTTATCTTTGTGACCATTATCCAATATTGATATTAATAAAAGATGAGTAAAAAGTATTTTTAAGCAAAAGATTGATGAAATAAAGAAAAATAATGTGTTAAATACTCAATACTGTTTGACCGCATTCCATCTGCAGGGAGAGCCAGAGACGTGCATGTCCTCTGATTTGCCTACATCACACTTGCCTACAATGCTTCCCTATTGCTGCTGACAATGTGACATTAGGGACAAAGGGGAGGCACAGAAGACATGAATGACTGCAATATGCACACTCTGGCTTCGGTGTCTTTACACTGCACAGAGTCAAAGACAGTAATAAATGAGAAAAATACTTTATTTCTTTAATACGGAATACATAATATTGCACTCTGGTTGCAAGTAGTGTGTAGAAAAAACTCTGTTTACAAAACCACCATAGCAATTGCCTGGGCCTCATATTTTATGGCATCATCAACTATAACCATGGCACTGAGCTTTGAACCTACTAAAAAGGGCAAAGTTTAATAAAGCCTTCTTTTTATTTCAGTGTCAGTGACCAGTAGTTTAAAAACTATACATATATATAAAATGAGGAAACTTTACAGTAACATAAATAGCTTTCGGTCAGAGGCACTGCTAATCTGTACCCATGCTTTAGCGAAATAGATATTGTTGAACTATTTTTCTGGCTTTATCAATAATTATTTCTTTTCATTGTGTTAATCATTATTTTACATGCTATTCTTTCATGAACAAATGAAATTATTTCACAGCAGTAACTATTGCTATTCTTGTGAAAAGCAATTACAAACTTTTGCATTCAGACTGAGCTTCAAAGTTTGATTTTCTCAAAGTCACCCAGAAAATTGGGGTAATTCAGATTAGGAAAAGACTTCTCACCTCCACCCACACAGTAGGGATCTGATACTGAGGCATGAATCTCAACGGAGGAGAGAGAGCATCACTGGCTCCTCTTGGAGCCTGGGGACACCCTCTTACCCTTCTTCACACACTTCTCAAAAAGGGTAGTTCTGAATTCACTCCAGCTGAATTCTTCTCTGTGTCTCCACTGAAGCACAGATGCTTCTGGAAGATCTTGGTGCTTTTAAATGCAACCAGTTTGTTTATATATTTGTTATCTATTATATGGATTATGAGTCTGCACCATCCTGACCCAAGGAAAATACGACCTAAGTTCTAGTTCATCCTCTTCTGACAGTAGAAAGGCACAAAACAGTTTCACCTAAAGCATCGACATATACAATTAATGGAACACCTGTAAGTAAGGGAAGTGGACATCTGTAAAGAGCCTTTAAAAAAATTCCTCTCATCTTTGACATTACCTTTTTAAACTATCTGCAATCCACCGAAGAGCAAAATAGCAGCATCTTGAGAGGAACAATTTGAGGGGAATTCTTAAAGCACGGAATCTGTTGTCTTTAAACAGAGTCTATGATGACAAAGGTACATTTGTGAGCCAACGTATGACTTCCTTGAAAACAAATCGGTATGGTACTGAGCACTGTATAGAGTAGTGAGTACTCTGCTTGCAATCACAAGTGAACATAACAAGGAGAAAATGATTGTAAACTATGCTGATAAATACTAAAACCATATGATGTTAAGGAAAACTATTTGAAGACCAATAACTGTCAACAATAAATATTAACGAGCTCAAAGGCCTACTGTCACAGTAAAAGTTACAAAAACAGAACACAGTATTAAACAAGTGCATGAACATATCAAAATGCATTGGCTTATAAAATGTCCTACCATCGAGAAACCCATTTTCTCTCCTCCGTATTCTCCATTTTGCTCCTAAGGAGACGTATTTTGTTAAAACACAAGAAACCTTGAAAGAGTAAATCAGGTTACAAGTTTTCTTTGGGTTGTCATCACTGATATAAAATTTCTCTCCAAAGGCTGTCAATCTGAAATCCGTGTAGTCTGGGTGTCAGGAGCGGGCTAGGGTCACAGTAACTCCCCCCTTCAGCGTTCTGATCCTGGAGTCGGCCAGCCGCCCAGAGGCTGCCCCTCGTCTCAAACACATCCTCGGTAGAGGAGGGCGAGCTGGTGTCAAATCTGGGATGACTGCATGATCCATGGAGGTGGGAATTAGACAAACGGGCAGGGAGTGTTCTGTGTAACTGGAGGCTCTCCTCTGCTTTGGGCAGTTGGGTACCAGAGCCCCGTGGAGGCGTGCTCTACGTGGGGCAGAGGAGGCGTGCTGCTGTGGTTGTGAGAGAGGGAAGCTCCAGAGTTTCCTGCTAGCTCTCAGAAAATGCATTTCTAGTGGTATCAACTCTAACTTCTCTTTCAGTAGCACGTCCACATGTCTGCAACCCAATGGGAGTGGCATTACTAAAATGACTTTGTAGCTCTCAGTGATTTTTAAGGTACTTTCTGAAGTTTAGGTGGCAGTGAGGCTCAGAAACGGAGGGGTTTAGTGTGAGCTTGTGTGTGTTTGCTCATTGTTAGCACAGTGTTTAACATCTTCTCATGATTACAGAACTTTCATTTATTTGGTGTCAAACAGTCCAAACTGATCGAAAGCAGTAAATACTATGGCATCCATACTTGGCTTGTGTACCCTTTGCCTTCTTTTTAAAATCAATTTAGATATTAAAATGCATCGTGGTACCTCTCTGTCACCAGGCCAGTCAAACAGATGTCCCTGAAAATATTTCCAAGCAGCTTTCCCCTCCTGTGTTGCCCTCCGGAAGCAAGGACAGATCCACCTCAAACAAGAAAATACCTCCCAGAGCTTCACCTGTTTATAAACAGCTACAACTCGGCTAATGTCCAAGTTCCATGTTGCCCTCTTCTCCATAGCATTTCAAATTCTTTGGAATTATGTAATTTTCTTCGATGGGGGGCTTTATTCCTGGGAAAACAGCAAGCATGTGGTCACCTGGGTGCACTGGACAAATCCTGTGGCAGTAAGGGTGGCCCTGGGGTCCCCAATCACCCATGACATGCTTCAAGGAGCCCCCACAGACTGGAAGACTTGCTTCCTGAGGAGAAAGAAAAAAGCAGTGAATCAACACTAGTCAGTCTAGGCAAAGGTTGTAAAGCCAAATACTAGAACTAGACTACAAAGCCTGGTCCTCAGTCTTTGGTTTTGTGATATTTTCTGCATTTTAAATTTTGAAAAAAGGTGGCAGCCTTAGCAAAGACAGCTGTCATCTGCTTTCTGCGGCGGAACCAACATCTATCTCCCTCTTGCCTTTTTCTGGACTTTGGACGTTTCTGTTGCCTCCAACCACTCCTGAGGCAGTAAGAAAATTTCTTTTTAATGTTGGTATGACCAGTGTTTCCTATCACAGAATCGGACAAGCTGAAAGCAAGTCAGGTGATCCAAATACACCGCAAACGGACTCCACCCTTTCCACACAGCAGTCTCTCCGAGAGCCCGGGGCTAGGTGGCGTCAAGGCGGCCAGGGGTGGCCTTCTGGCTCTCCGGCCACCGTTCACCTGACACCCACTGTCGGGCGGTGACTAGAGAGCTGAGCCCCCCCCAGCCGGAAACCCGGGGGCAGGTGGGCAGGGGCAGCCCCGGTCGCTCTGTCCCCGCGGCCTCTTGGCAGAGGGTGAGACGCAGCCCCCACCCAGCTTCCAGCTGCTCCGTCCTGCACCCAAGACGAATGTGAGACTATCTGAGCTTTTTGCCTTGAAACTGAGCAACGTTTATCCCTAATTACCATTCTTTTACAACAACACTAACACAGTAACTTCTATGGGCGGGCCGGCCTCGGCGATGAGCTGAAGGACGGAGGGGCCTAAGAGCAGCTTAGCCACGCGCGGGGCCGCACGATGCGGGTCACCCCTGGCGCCCCTGCTCCAGGCCCCGCGGTCGCGGGCAGGCTCCCCAGCTCTTGCCAGCTCTGCTAACTTGGACTTTGAAAAGGAAACATTTTTACTTTCTGCGTGTGAACTTCTTATTTAGTTCTGGATGGGATATCTTAAAATTTATCTCTCTTCACTGAAGGGAAAAGGCCTCAACATAAAGTAGATTTGTTTTCCTTCCCACTTAGAAAGCACTTTTTTTTTTTTGTTCATCTCAGATTTCCTGAATATTTTTATGAAATCCTAAAATGAATCTATGCGGATTCCGGCACAAATATCATGATAAACTAGGGGAAAACAACAGCTTGCATTCCTGCCTCACAGCTTCCAGAAGCTGGGAGATGAGTCCAGAGAAGACAGTGCGGCGGGGCCCGTCCTCTCCGGAGGCCACCCGTGGGTGGCGGAGCGAGGGCCCAGCCCAGCTCACTTCCCGTGGCTCCCGCAATGGATTTCAAAGCGGGCGAGCTCCGGCCTTCGGGGATCCGATCTGCAGAGCAAGTCTGCACGGTGCCGGCGTCCAGGACACGGAGCAGCGGGCAGGCCCCGGGCCACGTCCGTCTCCCTTCTCTGAGCCAAACAACACCTCGGGAGGCCGCCGCATCTCCCACGGAACCCGCAGGATCACTGGAGAGGAAAAGCCGTGTACTGATGCATAGATTCTCACCGGCAGTTCCCTAAACCTGTCACCTTTCCTCTTGCCTCAATTACTTTTGTCACAAACTGAAGGTTCTCACAAGCTAACCCACCTTCTTCCATATTTCACAGGCTTAAACCTAAAAATGGCTTCAAAGGTTTACTTCTTAGATGGAACCCTACAGTCTCTGACACTGGAGACTGGAGATGGGGCTGCATCTGGGTCTGGGGGGACCAGAGGGGAGAGGGTTGACTTTTATGCTGTCAGCTTTTATTTCGTGTGTCATCTTGTCACCTCAGCACTATTTACATCACCAATGCTACCCTGCGTGCACAAAATACCGCGTGCTCGGGCAACCTGAAGGGAACTTATTTATAAGAAGTTCACTTTTTAGAGACACCAATAGCGCTTTTCTGTTTTCCTTGTCTAGGTTCCAATAACGAACCACAGATACGCAGGTCATTCACCACAGTCAGAAGGTATGGAGGTCGGAAACCACCCGCCATCTGCCTTCACTTTATGGACAATGGGCGGTAAGGGGGAGGAGTGATGCCTGGTGGAAGACACCCCCATTACCCCACGTTAGTGCTCTGTCTGGTAGATGGTGCGCTTCTGCAAACATGCCAGTTCTCATGACATTCCTCCTCAACACCAAGGGGTTCTGGGGGAACACATGCACCTCAGCTTCAAAAGACAATTTATGAAAAGTACAAGTTAATGTGTTCTTATTATTTTTAATTTAAATGTTGATTGCCAGGGTGCTGGGTAGCTCAAGCCATGAACCCCAGAACCTGGGATTGAGCCCTGGGTTGGGTTCCCTGCTCCACGGGGAGACTGTTTCTCTCTCCACCCCTCCTCTCTGCCCCCACTCATGCTCTCTCTCTCTCTCTCTCTCTCTCTCAAATGAATGAATAAAACCTTTAAAAATAAATAAATAGGGGCACCTAGGTGGCTCAGTGGTTGAGTGTCAGGCTTTGGCTTAGGCTGTGATCCTGAGGTCCTGGGATTGAGTCCCGCATCGGGCTCCCCACGGGGAGCCTGCTTCTCCCTCTGCCTGAGTCTCTGTCCCTCTCTGTGTCTCTTATGAATAAATAAATTAAATATTTAAAATAAATAAATATTGACTGCCTATATAGATTCTAAGGCTGGTGAAAAATACAGTAACATTCAAAAAATCATAAAGAAAAACTTAAGTCATGATTCTTGTTTTTTTTTCAAGATTTTTAAGATTTAAGGACCCCAGGATCATGACGTGAGCCAAAGGCAGGCGCTCAGCCGCTGAGCCACCCAAGGGCCCCAATCATGATTCTTCTGAATCCAATCCATTTCTCCTTGTTAATTTTCTAGTCTGTACCAAGGCCACGGCTGCTCAAGGAAGTCTGGCCTTTTTTCAGTCCTCCAACAGGTGAGCTGTGTACAATCACATCTTGCAACAGCCTGCCCACCACTCTGAAGACTGATACTGTGTCCTCAGTTAGTTTCTATCAACAGCAGATGAAATACTTCCATCTCATGAATTTTGTTTTAATCTATAGCAAGTTCTCACTGAAGCGTAAGAGAAAAAATTATGGTGCAGTGTTTAAATTCTTGGTTCTTAAAGAGAACCCCAAAAAGGTACCTTCTCCTCCTTCTCCATTCACTACCCCGAAATGCCATCACCCCATGTGCTTGAAGGAAAAATAGAGGTCACTAAGGATAAACATTCCTTAGTTCCTCGGTGACAAAGGACTTGGGACCAACCCTGAGCTCCTGATGTCGGAGGGGAAGACCTTTATCGCCTGTACGATCTGAAGGGGTAAAGAAACTGCGAATGGCAGACAGCCCTGTGGAGTTCTGCAACACCCGTTGTAACTGAGCCCAGCCCCAGTTCAACCACCTGATGCACCTTCTTGTGAATTAAGACTCTCCTGGGAAAACTCTCAAGACAACTCAAACAAATTTTAGTCACAGGGAGACCTGTGCAGCTACACGAATGCTAAGCTGGTAAGTTCTCCATCCCTGCCAGTTGGATGAAGGCGTCCAGGAACCAGCTCAGGGCCGCCCTTCCTGCTGGAGGGGCGCTGGCAGCCCCGCTCTAGGGCTGCGGGTGGACCAGAAAGCGCCGCTCCAATCTCGGGATGCCCACGGGTCAGTCCACGCAGACCCTGGGGCTCTCGGGCTATTTTCAACACAGGAAATAATCGTAGGAATAGAAGCTGCTCCCTGACTGAGCATTTTATAAAGGATTTCTCCTTTGATGAGAATCGCATTTCCAGGCGGTTGGAAGCAAAACGCTCCAAAGAAAGGGTCCTGGACCTGCAGGGGACCCGGGCTGGCGGCCCTTCCGCTCCTCGGCTGCAGTCCCTGCACGCACGAGCCTCTCTCTGCGCCTTAAGATGCAGGGTCCCTCGGATCCCTGCACCCCGGGCGCGCCCGCCAGGCCCCGCGGACGCGCACGCGCAGAGGCGCCCGTCCCGGGCTCCGCAGATGCACACCTGGGCCGCGGGTCTGCGGGGCGCGAGCGCTCACGCGGGGCCCTGAAGCCCCTGGCCGGGCGTCTCCTTGGCTCTCTTGCAGGTGTACAGCCACTTGATGATGCGGGCGTTCCTCTCCACGACGGACGTGGTGCTGGGCACCTGCTCCGTGAGCTCCTCCTCCTGCAGCCCCTCTTGGCCGCCGCTGCGCCGGGAGAAGCCGCTGTCGGAGGTGGCGACGCTCACGCTGCGGACCCGGGGGGTGACGCGGTCCGACCCCGCCGAGAAGTTCTCCCTCCCGAGGGCGTCCAGCACCTCGGGGTCCAGGCCGCAGAACTGGAAGAACGTGTCGAATTCCGCCAGCGACGCGGAGTAGCGGGAGCTCAGGTCGGACTGCGAGCGCCGCAGCCCCCCGCGCCTGCTCGCTCGCGGCTGGGGGCCGGGGGGCGCGGCCGGGGCTCCGCGGGGGGTCCCGGGGGGCGCGGGGGCCGCGGGGGGCGCGGAGGATGCTGGTGTCCTGGGGGGCGCGGAGGATGCGGGGGGCGCAGGGGGCGCAGCCGGGGCTCTGCGGGGCGTCCCGGGGGGCGCGGGGGCCACGGAGGATGCGGGTGTCCCGGGGGCCGTGGAGGATGCGGGGGGCGCAGGGGGCGCAGCCGGGCCTCCGCGGGGCGTCCCGGGGGGCGCGGGGGCCACGGAGGATGCGGGTGTCCCGGGGGCCGTGGAGGATGCGGGGGGCACAGGGGGCGCAGCCGGGCCTCCGCGGGGCGTCCCGGGGGTCGCGGGGGTCGCGGAGGATGCGGGGGGCGCAGGGGGCGCAGCCGGGGCTCCGCGGAGGGTCCCGGGGCCCGCGGGGGCCCCTACGGAGCCGGGCCTGCTCACGACCGCCCCCTCTCGCCTGGCCCTGAGCTCGTCGTCCCCCCGGGCCGTCCCCGGGCACGCCGCCGCCCTGTCCCTGCCGGGCCCCGGGAAGAGCTTCCTCACCAGGCCCGCCCTGGGGCTGTCGGCGCCCTGCCCGCGGACGAAGTCGCGCTTCTGCCGGTAGATGACCAGCGAGTCGGGCCGCAGCGGCCTCCGCGCCACCGTCCTGCGCGCCACGGCCCCGGGGGCGGGGGGCCCAGGGGCGCCCGCAGCCCCCGCGCTGGGCCCCGGGCTGCTGCCCTCGGGGGCGGGGCCGGCTCCCCGCGGGCCGCGCAGGTACTTGGCCCGGTCGGCCGCCAGCCTCTCGGCCGCGCTCCTGCGCGCTGGCACCGCCGCGTCCCGGCCCCGGGGGCCCTCGGGCTGCTGCGCCGGCGGGCGCTGCCGCTGCGGCGCGTCCAGGCCGGGCAGGGCTCGCATCCCCGGGCTCCGCTGCCGCGCCGCGCCCCGTGGAAACGCGCCCGCCGGCGCTCCCGGGACTCTCCGGCCGGCTCCGAAGTCCGCGCGGGGCGGGGAATGGCGCCCCAGTGCCAGGCGGCCCAGGTCCGGAGCCAGGGCGAACCCCGGTCGGCACCTATCGGCGACCGGCGCCGCCCGCCCGCCCCGGCCCCGCCCCCGCCCCGCCCCCGCCCCGCCCCCGCCCCGTCCGGGCCCGGCCCGGGTCTCGGCTCCTCCCCGCCCCCGGCCCCCTCCCTGCCCGCGGTCCCGGGCAGCTCCTGGATCAGCCCCGCCCCTCGCCGACCCCGCCCCTCGCCAGGCCCCGCCCCTAGCCCGGCCCCCGCCCCCGCCTGGCCCCGCCCCCGGCCCCCTCTCCGCCCGCGGTCCCGGGCAGCTCCTGGATCAGCCCCGCCCCTCGCCGACCCCGCCCCTCGCCCGGCCCCGCCCCTCGCTTCCCGCAGGCTCGGGGCACCGGGTTCCGCCCCCAGCACCTGGCGGCTGCGCAGCCGCGGTCCGGGAGCCAGCGGGGGGCACTGCGCTCCCCGGCTGCGCCGCCCGCCACCCGCCCCTCCGGCGCGGGAAAGTTCGTTCAGCCCCGGGTATCGGCCTTGGGTCCCCGCGGGACGCGGAGGGATCCCGCTGCCCCCGCCCCGGCAGGTGCCCCGCGGCCTCCGAGCTCTTACGGTGACCTCTGCGCGTCCCGACACTCGCCTTAGCTTAGTTTTCTAAGGTCCGCCCCCGAGCACCTGCTCTTACAGAAAGGAAACGCGCGTGAAAGGAAGGAGGCGGCCGGCCCCGACGCAGGACCGCTTGGCCCTGAGCTGCGCAAGGGTCCCGGGCGCCCAGCGGGGCCTGCGTTGAGTCCAGGGCGGTACCGGGCGGCCCGGGTCCGGGTCGGATCAGCCCAGCCAGGCCCCCAGGTGCGGACTCCTGTGGGAGGAGGTGAGGCTCCAGGGAGTTGGATGCTGTTTTTACTGTAACCAAGGCAACGGGGAAACCGTTCACCTGAGCGTGGATCAGCTTAGGAATGCTAAAAGTGTACGAGAAGATATTTCCAAAATTCCATTATTACCAAAACTTGGACGAAGGACAAAATATTTGCTGGACCGGTGAAACGTCCATGTTATCTCTTAAGTTAAAGGCAACTCCACGATATGCTGACCTTTCAAAGCTGTGGGTGAACGCAACCCAGCCGCCTGCGGGTGGAGGGCAGGAGGGGTGTCAAGGTCTGGGGCATTTTGCTGCACCTGTTGAGTACCACTGGACACCTAAAGGGGCTGGTGTGGGTCGGCAGTTGAAGCCCCGACTGACCACCATCCCCTGATGATCAGAGAACTGCATCCGGGTTGTGCCAAATGGGTCTTTAGACCTTTAGTCCCAGTGAAGCTAGAGCCCATAGTCCAGGGTAGAAGCCAACAAGAAACCAGGTCTCCTGGGAGCCAGACTACCCAGATAGTGTCCTGGGAAAATGCCTCATACTCACAGGAAAAGAAGACCTGATCCATTAGGTTAGGGGGACGGGGAAACCTAGAGTAAGAGAGAGGTTTAAAGAGGGCAGGATGCTGGGCAGGACACGTTGTTTCCCACAACATGATACTCCTGGTTGGGGCTGTGGGGGATGCTGATGGGAGCCCAAACTCTAGCCTTTTTTTCCCCTCAGGCAGCATGGTCTCTTGTCAGTCAGAGGGAAAAGAATATATATGCTTAATTGCTTAATCCAAAGTGGCTACCTTGTCCAATTTGTACATTTTCCTGTGCGATTACAACAGTTCTGAGAGAATTCTGAAGCTTGGGGCCCCTGGGATTTGTTACTTATTCACTAGGTCCTTTTGGACCAATAATAAACCTTTCAGAATCTTTATTTTGTCATTTGTAAAAATTCTCACTTTTAGAGTTTAGAACATTCCTTGTTTGATAGTGAGCACTAAATACATGTTAATCTGAACAATCCAGGCTTAGGTTCCAGCTGTGTCCTCTTGAGACTGTACTGTTTGTTGGACTGCTCAGTGCCTACAGTTGCTCATCTGTAAATCAGACCTCATTATATCCACTTTCCTAGGGTTTTTGTTAAGTTAATGAGATTATGTATATAAAGTGCTTAGCACTTCTGGTACACAGTGAATTTTCACTAAATGTTAAATTTATTATTTTGTTGGTTATAAGTTAGTCAGCTGTTTATCAAATTTTAAATATAGTTAGTGAACTCACGTGAGTAATGAAATATTAAGAATAAAAGTAAAGCTGCTATTAAAAAGGTGTATTTAAGACATTGCTATTGGACAAAACTAATTCTATTTATGTCCATAATTTTCTGCCTATTAAGCAGATAATTTACTGGAAAAATGGAGTTGGAATGCTAAGATAATGACAAGAAAATTGCCTAAGTAAATTTTTCTTGTTGCTCAACTGATAGCTTAAACTTTCACCTAATTTCCCTCCTGTTATCACCTCAAAAGACTTGGTAAGAGCAGGAAAAAGTGCTTATGGCCCTAGTGATCCTCAAGATCTGCTGCTAGGAATTTATCCCAAGGAGCCAAGAAGAGATGTGTGCACAGTATGAGAATTTTCATTGCAGACAGATAGTTGAAGTCACTCTACATTCAACAACAGGGCTAGGTGATGTGTGATGCCCCATAGGATAGTATTATCCAACCACTTGCAATCATACCTCTACATGTACTTTATGGAGTAGGAAATTATCATGATATATGTGAATTTTAAAAAGTACTACAAATAAAGTAACAGTATTGGAAAAAGCTTTAGAAACACAAAACCTCCCAAGAATGTATCATGAAGAAATGAAAAATCTGAGTAGACCTTAAATAGTAAGGAGATTGAATCAATAATCCAATATCTCCCAAAAAAGAAAAGCCCTAGGCCTGATTTCACCGATCAAACATTTAAAGAAGTAATACCAGTCCTTCTTGACTTTTTCCCAAAAATTGAAGAGAACACTCCCTAACTCGCTCTATAAGGCCTGCATTACCCTGATACAAAAGCCAGACAAAGGCCCTGCAAGAAAACTACAGATCAATATCCCTATGAACATCAATGCAAAAATCCTCACAAAATACTAGTGAACAGAATTCAGCTGCATATTGAAAAAAATTATACACCATAACCCAACGGGATTTATTCTTGAAAGGCAAGGATATTTTACCATATGAAAAATCATCATCTCAGTTGATGCAGAAAAAACATTTAACAAAATTAAATATGCTTTCGTGATAGAATCACTCAACAAACTAAGAATAGAAGGAAACTATCTCAATGTAATAAAAGCCATTTGTGAAAAACCCACAGTAAATATCATATTTAATGATGAAAGACTGATTTTTTTCCCTCCAGGATCAGGAACAAGGCAGGGATGATTGCTTTTATAACTTCTATTCAACATAGTACTGCAAGTTCCACCAGAGCAGTTAGGCAAGAAAAAGACATGAAAAGATGAAAGACTTCCAAATTGGAAAAGAAGAAGTAAAATTTTCTCCGTGTGCAGATGATGTGGTCTTATAAAAGTCTCCACACACGCACACACACACACAAACACACGCATACAAACAGAATGAAAAATTGAATTCAGCAAAGTAGCAAGATACAAAGTCAATATATAAAAATCAATTTCATTTTTATACACTAACAATCTGAGAAGAAAATTACAAAAACAATTGAATTTATAATAGCATCAAAAAAAGCAAAATACTTAGGAATTAAGCAAGAAGGTTAAAGACTTGTACAATGTAAACTACATTGATGAAAGTTTTTAAAAGATGTGAATAGATGGAAACATATGCCTTGTTTATGGATTAGAAAATTTAATCTTGTTAAAATATCAGTACTATCCAAAGCAATCTACAGATTCAATTTAATCCCTATCAAAATCCCAATGGCATTTTTGCAGAAACAGAGAAAAGCCCACTCTTGGGTTCATATGGAGTCTCAGGGGGCCTCAAATAGCCCAAATAATCTTTATAAAGAAGAATAAAACTGAAGGACTCACCCCCCTGATTTCAAAACTTACTACAAAGCTACAGTAATGAAAAGTGTGGTATTGCCATAAAGACCAATGAAATACAATAGAGAGCCCAGAGAAAAGCCCTGATATATATGGTCTAATGATTTTCAACAAGAGTGCCAAGACCATTCAATGGGAGAAAGGACAGGCTTTCCAAAGAATAGTGCTGGGGAAATGATAGGCTGCCAAAGAGTGCAGCTGACCTCTTACCTCACTTCACATACAAACTTAACACAAAATGGACCAATAACCTACATGTAAGATGTAAAACAAGGAAACTCTTAGAAGAAAACAGGTGACAAAATCTTCATGACATTAGATTTAGCGATGATTTCCAGTGTGTGACAGCAGAGGCACAGGCAACAAAAGGAAAATAGACAAGTTGGACTTCTTGCAAAATAAAACATTCTGTGCATCAAAGACACAATCCTTAGAGTACAGCAGCACCCCACAGAATGACAGGACATGCTTGCCAACCATGCATCTGATAAGGGAGTAAATCCAGAATATACAGAGAAATCCTACAATTCCAGAACACAAAAACAAAACAAAATAAAAAACTAATTCAAAAGTGGGCAAAGGATTTGAATACACATTTCTCCAAGACAGATGATAAAAATGGCTGATAAACATGAGAAAAGATGCTCAACATCAGTATTCATTATGTAAATGCAAGCAAAAAACACAAGGAGTTATCACCCCACAGCCGGTAGGATGGTTAATATGTATATATAAAAGAGGCAGAAAACAACCAGTGCTGGTGAGAAGTTGGAGAAATGGGGACCCATGTGCACTTGTGGCGGAAATGTAAAATGGCATAACGCTATGGAAAGCAGCACGGTGGTTCAAAAAATTAAAATAGAATTATTTACAACCCAGAATTCCACTTCTGGTTTAAACCCCTAACAATTGAAAGTGAGGGGCACCTGGGTGGTTCAGTGGTTGAATGTTGGCCCTCGTCTCAGGGTGTGATCCTGAGGTCCTGGGATCCAGTCTCACATCAGGGTCCCCTCAGGGAGCCTGCTTCTCCCTCTGCCTGTGTCTCTGCCT